AGCAAGAAAAGTACTTAGCAACAAACTTAACAAAAAATTAGTAAAATTTTAATATACTTCTGACAAAAGAAAGCTTGAGGTAATAGCTTACAGAGTTGTTTGATAGGAAGATTTAGCCTAAAAAGTAATCAATTTTCCCCATTAATTTATAAATTTAATATGCTCTTGAAACAAAATTAACATTTTCTTAAAATACGTTGCTGACTTTAAATTGCATACTGTAAAATGAAAAAGTAAAAAGAGCCATAAAATGTATGAAAAACAAGAGCAATATTTTGTAATTAGCACTCTTAAATAGCAAAACATATTATAAGTCTCAGTAATTAAGATATTGTGATATTGGCACATGAATATGAATTCAATAGAATAGAATTTTCAATAATTGATCTCAAACTTATTTAAAGGTAGTATGTTAAAGCTAGTATGTTATAAAGTCACTTCATACCAGTTATAAAATGACATTAAATAAACGGTATTGGTACAAAAATAGTGTCAGATCCATACCAGAATAAATTTCAAATGATTCAAAATTTACATGTAAGGAAATGAGTCCACAAAAGCTACAGAGGGTGAGATTGTGTGGGGTGGGGAGACAAGAGAATTGTTTTATAATCTCAATGTATAAAAAGTCCTTTCTAGGACTCAAAATTCAGAATTCATCAAAAAAAAATTAACAAAACAACAAAACACTTTTACTTGGCAAAAGTCATCATATTGAAGGGCTAAGGACAAATGATAAACTGAAAAAAATACGTGCAAGCCACATCATAGTTTAGATCTGAAATGTATAAAAATTTTCAATGAATTTGTAGTTTAAAAAGTAGAAAAACTCATATTAAATTCAAAATTACTATTAAATTGTATTAAATTCATCTTGAAATTAAACATCTGCAAATATCTTAAATACCTGAAAACATATTGATCTCACAATCATAGAGACACAAATAAAAGGTAAACAGAGTGTTCACTTCAGCAACTCATATACCAAAAATTGATGCCATTCAGAAATTAGCGGGGCCTCTGAACAAAGAGGATGTGCAAATTCATGAAACATTTCATATTTTTTAAAGCGACTATTTTTCAGCATCAACTTGGCAGAAATCAAAGTTTCAAAACACAACTAGCAAGTCTGTGGAAATAGAAACTCTCATTCATTGCTGATAAAAGTCCAAGTTGGTACAGTCTAAATGGAGGATGATTTTGAAGTATTTGTCCAAGACTATAAGGTATCTATCCAAGATTATATACACTTTCGGCAACAAATTCTAGGAAGGTATCATACACATAAGTTCCCATACACAGAAAATAATGTATGTACAAGGTTATTCATTGTGGTATAGGCTGTAATAATGTTTAGAAACAAACTTCATTATCTGTCAACTAGTAACTCTTTAAATATGTTATATCCCCAGAACTGAATGTGATACACTACCATACAATTGAATATGACACAATATGATCTAGGAAGATCTTGAAGAAACATTTTAAAGGAAAAAAAACACAAACACATAAAATGTGTATAGTATGATATGATTGGCATAAAACATGAGAAAAACGTTCATTTATATTTGATTTTGTGTACATAAAAATCTCCCTAAAAGTAGAGGATAAAACAGTGGTTACCAGGAGGTGGTCCTGGGGAGAAAATGGGCTCAAATAACACAAAGTAGCAGACAGGTAAGATGAACAGGTCTAGATAGCAATGTACAACATGAGGACTATAGCTAATAATATTGCCTTGGGCCTCCCAGCCAAGTTAGCAATATTGCCAGTGGCTCACGCCTGTAATATTAGCACTTTGGGAGGCTGAGGCAGGTGGATCGCCTTAGGTTAGGAGTACGAGACCAGCCTCGCCAACATGGCAAAACCCCATCTCTACTAAAAATACAAAAATTAGCTGGGCGTGGTGCCATGCACCTGTAATCCCAGCTACTCGGGAGGCTGAGGTAGGAGAAATTGCTTGAACTTGAGGAGTGGAGGCTGCAGTGAGCCGAGATCACACCACTTCATTCCAGCCTGGGCTTATCAGCGAAACTCCACCTCAAAAAATAAAAATAAAAATAAATAAATATATAAATAATATTGCCTTGTAATTAGGAGTTTTACTAAATGAGTAGATATTAGCTGCCCTTGCCACACACACATACAATAGAGGAGCTATATGAAATGATAGATATTTTAATTTGTTGCATTAATCATTTTACTATCTATATGTATCCCACAACATCATGCTATATATCTTAAATATACATAATAACATTTATATTAAAAAGCTCTCTAGGAAGATCCCCAAGACTCTAACACAGCAATATCTATTTATCAGTGTACTGGCAACTGGGCACATGACGAATAGGGTGGCAAGGAGACTTTGCATTATATACTTTTTTATACATTTTGATTTTGGAAACTTGTGAATTTTTAAAAACACATTCAAAGAAGACTGTTAGAAATAAGGAGTAAAAGGTATCCTTGTCTTGGGTTAGGAGTACATTTCTTAATCTGATTGGTAAGTATCATTACAGTCAGTAAGATGTTAATGGACAATAGTTTGTGTACCAAAGGAAGGTTACGATTCTCCAGAGGTTCTGATCTTGCTGGGACTGATGGAACTGCCACTGTCTAAACAGCAAGAAAAGTTTTTAAAGTCTTGATACAAATGGCTCTTACTGGACCATAATATCACCCCCATTATAGCTGAAATTAGCAATAGGCTTATTATTAAACATGTCTTTTTAAAACTAATAGAGAGTGGCATTGCAGAACACACATCCATTTACTCAGTTGGAGACTACGAAACATGCTGTTGAACTATAAAGCGTATTCAATGGTGCGCTCTGCTCTCAAGGAGCATACATTCTACAATGGCAAATACGTGATGTATGCAAATACTCATAACTATAAACTCAAAAATGCAAAATGTTACAGGAGAGAAAAAGTTCCATGGGTTGTAGAAGAGCTAGAAGTGAATTCCTGCTGGAGAGCAGAAAAGGGAAGATGAAGGGAGGCTTGACAGTTGAGTAAAGGAAGAAGGCCAAAAGGATCAGTGAGTCAATCAGCACTCACGGGAGACAGCACAGCATGCGGACAGGAAGAGAAAAAGAGGACAAGGAGAACAAACACATAGCTCGGTCTTGCTTATGTATAAGGTATTTAAAAAGTAGAATTGTTGGACCCAGATTATAAGACCCTGAATTGAAGGCTAAAAGGTTTGAATTTTATTCTATAGAACTGGGAAGATTCTGGAAGTTCATGAGAATGGAAATAATAGCATCCAAACAGCCCCATAGCAAGCTTGACCTGGCTGCAGATTTGTAGGGTGGGTTGAAGAAAAGGGTTGATGATGAGAAAAAGACAGGAAGTAAGAGCTATCAGAGAAATCCAAGTGAGGCATGACATTAATCAAGAATGCAAAGGAACAGGTAAGTGGCATTATGTGGAGATGTGAGGAAACAGTGGGGACTCAGTTAATATCTATTATATGAACGGATAATAAATAAATGAGGCCAGACAGATGGAAAGAAAATAAGGAACTATTTTTTTCCTATTTCTGACTCAAGTTATTAGTCAGAAGACTGCATCCAGTCTTCCCTCCCGAGTTTTATCTCCCTGCCTGACACCCTTAAAGGAAAGGCAGAAACAATAGCCCATTATAAAAAGAGGAAAAGGGCATCTTGGCTTTCCTATCGAAGAGCTTACTAGAAAAATTCTGAGCTGCTGTTCTTCCTGGGAGTTTTTCTGTTGAATGGTACAAAGTTGGGGAATATGGCAGATGGCTGTGTCTTTACAGGTGTGCGCACAGGGCTCTCTCGGTTACATTAGAAGGGATTTGAACTCGTTATTTTTCTTGTAGCCACAGATTACTCATTACTAGATAGGTATAAACTAGACCAAATTAAAAAATGAGAGAGAAGATCAAGAAATTGTTGGTTCCTTAGTTAGTACAGGACTTAATCCTGGATGCTTTTAAAATATGGAAAGGAAAACAGATATCTTAGAAAGAGAGGAAAGATGGATGTATAGAAAGAAAAAAAGCTAGGAAGAGGGAGGAAGAGAGAGACAGGGAGAAAGGAAGGAAAGAAGAAAGAAAGGAAAGAAAAAAAGAATGAAGGATAGAACAAATGAAGGGAGAAAAAAATAAATGAAGAAAAAGAAGTAAAGAACAAAGGAAAAAATAAGTGATTTGGAAACTTCTCTGCTGGAAGATTTATATACATTTATCTCTAACAAATGAAATAAGCACTATAATTTTTTTAAATTTACACCTAAATCATTGGTATTACTATTATATCTCTCAAGCCTTCTTACAAAGTCACTCCTTTGGGCAGCAAGTCAGTATTTAATAAAATAGCAGAGGACAATGTGAGAATGTGGACTGTGTGGGAAAAGATTTTGATAAGACAATTTACGCTTCCTTTTTAATTCAACTGATATTGCTATGGGGGACTGCACTTTTAGTAGTCATTGTCAGATCCAGTTTCTATGGAAATATAAGCTGCTGCGATTGGATAAAGTCAATGATGCCATGGGAACAACATCCTTGATAATGTCACATTTCTTCTTCGAAGGAGCGATTTGCTACTTTTTTTCTGAAATATGAAAAAACCCAGTGAAAATTTAAAAATTCCTTCATATATGCACACCACATGAACAATTCATGCTACAGTTTTTCTCACAGACGCTGTTAATAAGAGAATTATATATCCAGATAATAATATTTCAATTAATGGGATAAAGAATAACATAAAAATCAATATGAGGCACAGACCATCTTCATTTAAACTTAGCCATTTAAATCACACCTTATATGTAGACGTGTTTTTTATGTGGACTGCTTTCTCCATTAAATATATGACATGTCCTAGCCAGTCAGAGAAACTCTCCCTGCTTCTCTATACTTTGTTACATCTATCTTGCCATTCACCCTACAGCCTACACTCCACAATGTTATGAATCTCAGCTTCTTGCAGACATCTTAGCCTTCAGTTTACAACTAGCCACTGCTGAGAGGGGTTAGCAGCAGAAAGAAACTATGTGCGATGAAGGATGAGATGGGAAAAAGCATTCTTATTAAAATATCCGTTATGTAACTTCAACCAATACACGTCGCCTACTGAGTAAAGGATATTGTTCATTCTGAGCAAATATTTCAAATTGTTTCACAAAGTATTCTATTTATTTGTATAAGCATGGCTAATATGCAAACTGGATCATCCCTTGGAAACCTGGAAGTGAATTTTGTGATAATACAAGGAATCCTAGGGTAATCATAGCAGATGTCTTCTGCATGCCTTAATTTACAAATGCCCCCAATGAAAAGGAGGAAGAAGGAGCCAGGAAGATTGGATGCAGTAGCCACCAAGGTAAATGAAGTCCTGTCTCTTCTTCCTGTCCTGCTGCCTCCATTTTTCTTGGTAGGAGAGGCGTGTGTGTGTGTGTGTGTGTGTGTGTGTGTGTGTGTGAATCAAGGAGTTATATGAGAGACTAAAACGTGTATTAAAACATTGCATGGCAAAATTTAACATAAATGGAAAATTTACTAAGGGTTGATTTTCGTTTGTTTGCTTTTGTTTTTGATTTGTTTTGCTTAATGGTGGGTGGGGAGGGTAAATGGAGATGACAGAAAAGTGAAATCCTTTCAAGCCATTTCTTAGTACAATGACTGTTTCTTTGACCACCACTCTTCCATTTCATAAAAGCAGATCTCAGCTCCCGTTTGATCATATTTTAAAAAATTAAAAATTAAGAGGCTGGGCATGATGTCTCATGCCTGCAATCTCAGTACTTGGGGCGAGCAAAGCAGGAGGACTGCTTGAGCCTAGAAGTTCAAGATCAGCCTCGGCAACATAGTAAGACCCTATCTCTACAATAAAAAAAGAAAGAAAGAAAAATATTAGCTGGGTGTGGTGGCACATGTACCTGTGGCCTCAGCTACTTGAGAGGCTGCGGCAGGGGGATTGCCTGAGCCCAGGAAATTGAGGCTGCAGTGATCCATGATCATGCGACTGCACTCCAGCATGAGTGACAGAGCACAGCCCTGTCTAAAAAAACATTAAAATTAGAATAATGTGTGGATTATTTACCTTTCTCCAGACATGATGCAAATGAAAAAAACAGAGACAAATTAATGTCTCATGAATATAATGAGACTTTTTCTGTTTTACCTATTGGGTCCAGTGGGATTCTTAGCTTCCTTCTCATTGATTTTTGTGGTTATTTTGGTGCCTGCAGGTCCAAAGAATTGTATTCCTGTTAGATGAATTGCCATTATCCTATTTTTCAGTGTGAAGAAGCTCACAGGGATAGAATCCCTTTGAGTAATCTGTTAAAGTGTAGTGGGGTCCCTTCTGTTATCTTCAGAACAGATTGGGCCTCAAAGGTGATTGTGCCATGCTGCCATGGGCCAGAGTGAACTGTGCCACCTTAGGCAGGGATTACTAACATAGGTAGATTGTAGGACTCAGATAAACCAGGGAAAGTTATAAATCAATAGTGATATTTGGATACAAATGCTAAGAGTCAGTTATACCTAGACTTCTCCACCAAGTGCTCTCACCATTATTCAGAGGGAAATGGTCTTAACTGACATTAATTTTGCTTATTCTTAGACCTATTTGGTTGACTCTATCCTTTTAAAGTTTTGCATATCTGAGAGTTTTATTTTGAAATTTTTCTCAGTGTTTGCAGGAATAACTATATTTTCAGCTTGACAGACTGGCATATGTGCCTGGGAACTTCCATAATGCCAGGGTAGAAACGAACTGTTGAGTCTCTCCCAGCTCCCTTCATTCCCCTTGCCCGGAATGTATCACCTTTGGATTTCTTCTGTCTCCAAAGGTCATAAACAGTATGCAGAGTTCAGTTAAAAGATCCTTCTCGGCCAGGCACCGTGGCTCACACCCGTAATCCCAGCACTTTGGGAGGCTGAGGTGGGTGGGTCACTTGAGGTCAGGAGTTCGAGACCAGCCTGGCCAACATGGTAAAACCCTGTCTCTACCAAAAATACAAAAATTAGCCAGGCGTGGTGGCAGGTGCCTGTAATCCCAGCTACTCGGGAGGCCAAGACAGGAGAATCACTTGAACCTGGGAGGGGGAGGTTGCAGTGAGCCAAGATCACGCCACTGTACTCCAGCCTGAGCAACAAAGAGCAAAACTCCGTCTAAAAAAAAAAAAAATCCTTTGCAATCTCTGTATGAGACAGGGACAAATCTGAGTGAACAATAAGACCAGTAAACAATCCATTCCCAACTGCTGCCCTGAATTTAAACCACAGTATCTTGAGATGCTGCTTCATCAAAGCTGCATTGGCTTTGACATGAGAGCCTCCCTAGGTAGCAGTCTTGGGAGGATAAAAAGGCTAATCACACTGCACTTTTGGAAAGAAAAATGGGATCTCTATGTAGTGCTGGTCCATGTATCATCACTATTTTCAGGACAAGTGAAACGTCAAGGCTAAAATACCCTCCAGCTATCTATAAAATAATGTAAGCCAGATATACAGTCATGGCAGAGTTTTGAAGTATTATTCAATTGACTTTCCCCATCAGAAAAAAAACCCAAAAATATGTATTTTCTGCCTCATGTTTATCAAAAAGGGTACTGAATTAAAAGTAAAAATATAGCAATAGTCTGGTATCCTGTCAAATTTAATCTATGTGAAATAGCCCAATCTATCCCACAAAAAATGTATTGTAGTAAAATTGGAAGGCTACTTCAGTACAATGCTTGATGTTTTCTTTAACACTACGTTGCTTTATATACTTGTGTATATAAAAGACAGGGTTTGGCTATTGCTAATCCTATAAATTAACTCTTTTGTTCACAAAATGGAATTTTTCAATCCCATTTCAAAAATAAAAAGTCTGTCTTACAGTTTTTTAGTTGTTTAAAATGATTACATAGAGGCACCACACAAAGATAAAATTTTGGTCCATCTCCGAATAATTTTTCTCTATATATTTTCACATATAAATAGAAAATGAAAGCAAAGAGACTCTATCTTTATACTGATTTTGGGAAAATAGTCCTGAAAAGATGTTCACATGTCAGTGATATTCATATCAATTCTATATTTACTGATCTGGTGCTTAAAAAAACAAAACTCTGCTTACCCACCTAACTTAATTATCATTTCAGCATTCTTTTTTACTTAACTTTTATTTTAGGCTTGGGGGTACATGTGAAGGTTTGTTACATAGGTAGATATGTGTCATGGCGGTGTGTTGTACATATTATTTCATCACCCAGGTATTAAGCCCAGTGCCCAATAGTCATCTTTTCTGCTCCTCTCCCTCCTCCATCTCCCTCCTAAAGTAGACCCTAGCATCTGCATTGTGGAAAGCAGTATGGTGATTTCTCAAACAGCTAAAAACAGAACTACCATTTGACTCATCAATCTCATTACTGGGTATATACCCAAAGGAATATAAATCATTCTACCATAAAGATATATGCACATGAATGTTCATTGCACAGCTATTCACAATAGCAAAGACATAGAATCAACTTAAATGTCCACCGATGACAGATTGGATAAAGAAATTGTGGTACACATACACCACGAAATACTACGTAGCCATAAAAAAGAACAAGATCATGTCTTTTGCAAGAGTATGGCTGGAGCTGGAGGCCATTCTCCTTAGCAAACTAACACAGGAATAGGAAACCAAATACTGCATGTTCTTACTTATAAGTGAAAGCTAAATGATAAGAACTTATCATTTCAACTTTCAAATATATGATATTAATGTCTCAGTTAGTAGGTCAAGCTTTCAATTCTAAGATTTGCTGAAGAAGAGAAGGCAGATGCTGGGAACGGATTCCTATTCTTCCTTTTATCTCTTCTCTGCTGTAAGATCCCCACGTCTCCCTAATGATCTGGAGCTAGTACTCAGGACCCTGACTTAGCAAATATAATGACTATTAACTGTAAAACAAGAACAAGATATTTTAACCAAGTTGAGACCTCTGAGAACAGTCAACGTATATTTTGCTCTGTGAAAACAAACGATCTGGAGCTAGTACTCAGGACCCTGACTTAGAAAATACATTGAATAATTCTGTAAAACAAGAACAAGATATTTTAACCAGTTGAGGCCTCTGAGAACAGCCAACATATATTTTGCTCTATGAAAGCAAATATAACTTAGAGGGCAGGAAATAATCATGTAAATTAGGGTACCAAAATAAATTAACAAGATTCACTCACTTTTCCACATTAGCAAGGAGAATGCCTTGCTCTGGAAGTAATAAATTTTCCACTTAAAAATAGAAATTCTTCAATCAAAAGAAACCGTAGATATAATTTTATGCAATGTACACTTGCCTATGTTGTAATGAAATCAAAATCCAGAACGATTAATTTCAGAAATGGTAAAGTTCTCTTGTCCTCAATTGTGATGCTTTTCCAGCAGATATCCTTGATATTTGAATAACATAGAAAGGCTTATTTGTCATAAACCTGTTGAAACTTAAAGCTGCAAGACCTCTCACTGGAATAGGCAACTGCTAAGAAATGTCTAGAAATTTTGAATTATTGTATTTGTAATATTTTATTAAAAATTACTCCTCCAAATTGTATAAGCTTCTGATTCCACAAAACCTCAATCCTCCTGTGATGACGTGGATATTGTATAGAGTTTCATATTGTTGTAACTTACCAACTTTTTATTGGGATGGACTAGAGTGAGAAAGGTCTAGCCAATTAAAATAATCTCGACTGGATCATTAGATACTTGCCTGTTTCAAACTGTCAATTTCCAGGCATTCTTTTATTACTTATGAATCAAAGATTCTTCCATTTTAATAAGAACTCATTTCTTACCACCACTCATTAAATAAAGCTAACTAATATCAAGGTAACTTCAGAATTCACACTTACTTAAATAAAAAGTTTTAATATGTTAGGTAAAAAATGTAGAAGATGAACCTGTATTTCATGACAAAGAATTTGTTGTAGTAATTTTATATTGAAACAAAACTTCAACTTATGTACAAAGGAGAGGAATTCTAATGAAAGTGATATTTCCTATTTAATTTTCTGTACTTTTGTTCACATAGAAGATAATTTAGGAGGCTTTCTAATAAGGTAATTTTAAATACTGTTCTGTCCCCACTATGCAAATATTTCTCCCTCTCAACTACATATACTTAACATTAAGTTTTAGTTACATGAGTGATAGTACGAATAAATAATAAACACTTCAACATTTATCACATTATGGTAAGAGAGGAGCATAATATCAATAAAAACAAAAACAACAAGAAAAAGAATAACAGTGAGCAGACCTTGATATAAATTTTTGAAACCGTAAACCTCAAATCCACAAGTACAGAAGACTTCCTGACCATCTGAAGTCAATATATATGTATGCATATATATGCTTATGAATATATTAGATTATAGTTAGTACTAATTATTCATGACATTTTACAAAGAATTTCTGTATAAGGAAATCACTGAGTTTTTATTAGAGTTTATCTAACTCTTTGAGAGCTTAGAAAAATATAACATATTTTAAGCAGTAAAAGCAAATTAAACCTAATTAGATAACATCAAGTTATTCATTTCATGATCCTCTAGATGGCAGGATCCTAGAAAAAGACTCCACTTGGATGGAAAAAGTAACATTTAGTAGAAAAAATCCGTTTGAAGTGGAAAAAATCTATGTTTAATTCCAAAATAAATCTAATATTGTCCTTGAGAAAAAGTTAAATTTAATAGTCTGTAGTCACCCACTCCACAAGAAGAGTAGATTAGAAAAGACGACTTCTCAGGAACAGATTTCACAACACTATAATGTTGATTAATATATTAATAAATATTACTAGGATAGGAGGTAAGGGGCCCATGGCCATTTGTATTTGGGAAATTTTATAACATCCTGAATCCCCTTCTTAAAGAATTTTTTAAAAGAACAAGAACTTTTGCCATAAACAAATCTTAATTGCTTTTTAAAATCTAAGATTCTCTAACATTTTGACTCTTAATCTTGTTTTCTCTGAACAGCTGTTAACAGTAGTATTCTATCCACAAAACTCAAGAAGTAAACAGAAATGGAGAAGATCAAGTGTTCCTCTAAGTTTCACAAAGCAGGTTCTCTTTAAATATTTATTTCATGAATAAATCAAAGCCAGATGTTGTAAGCTAACTTGAACATTGTAAGACTTGATTTCCTTTATATACTGTTTTCTGTATTTAGGTGGTGTCTTTGTCTTGTCTGTTTTGTGTTGGTATAACAAAATACCTGATGCTGAGTAATTTGTGAAGAAAAGAGGTTTGTTCAGCTTGTGATTCTGGTACCTGGAAAGTCCAAAAGCATGGCACCGGCATCTGCTTGGCTTCTGGTGAGGGTCTTTGTGCTGCCATCCCCGAAGGTCAAATGGGAAGCAGACAAGTGCAAAGAGACAAAACACAAGGAGTGTCCTTGCTTTATTACAGCCCACTCTCACGGGAACTAATAGATTCCCATGAAAACTAATCCAATCTTGTGAGAGGGAGAAGTCACTACTATGAGAATGATACCAAGCATCCCAGGAAAGCAGAGCCCCCTAATCCAAATATCTCCCACTAGACCTCACTTTGTAAGGGTTCTACTTCCCAAATTTGCCACACTGGGAATTAAGTTTCGCACATTAAGTTTTGGAGGGGATGCTCTAACAATAGCAGCTGGCAGTGTGATGACATGGATACATTAATGTTTGTATTATTTGACCAAGGAGTGATATTGAACTCTTATCCTGTTTGTAATAAATATGTAAACTCAATGGAATTATGTATTCTGAAGGTAATATTAACTAAGACAATACTAAATCTTTCTAAAACTATGAATATTTTAGCTAAAATGCAAAGACTTATGCCAGTTCTAACATGATGGATTGTCTAGTCCTACTGTCAAATATTTGAAATCTCTCCAAGCAATTAATGAATAATTCTAGCAGGGTTATATTTTTATTTTTGAACCAAATTCAAAGTTAGTATGAATTTTTATGTCAGGTTCTAGAGTTGACATTTCAAATTTTCTGAAATATATTTTTCTAAGAATAAATTCTAGTTGTATTGAACTCTATTAAATATAAACAACACATTTTCTCAGACCCTTGGTCATGATTTTAATCTAGTTAACGTAAAGAGAGCAAGAGAGTGAGATAAATTGTCAGTTTTGTGAATTCTGCTATTGACATTAAACAAATGCTCTTCAATGCTGTGGAACTGATAGTTTTGTATTAGAGTCAAAATGTGATAATGACAATGTAGTGTTATAACATTTATTTGTAAGCAGCTCAAATCTCAGGCTTTTCTATTTTTAAATTATTTTTCTTTTTTATTGACTCAATAATTGTATATATTTATGAGGTACACTGTGACGTTCTGATAGACATGTATGTTGTGTGATGATCAAATCAGGACAATTAGTATATCCATCACCACAAATATTTATCATTTATTTGTGGTGGCAACATTCAAAATCTTCTCTTCTAGCTATTTTCAAACACACAAGGCATTATTGTTAACTATGGTCACCCTACTGTACAACAAAACCCTAGAATTTATTCTTCCTTTCCAATTGTAACTTTGTATTACACATTAACCAATCTCTCCCCTTTATTCCTTTTTCCTTCCCTTCCCAGTCTCTGGTAACCATTGTTTTATTCACTACTTTTATGAGATCAACTTTTGTAGATTACACATGAGTGAGATACTATGGTATTTGTCTTTCTGTGTCTAGTTTATGTCACATAACATAATATTCTACTGGCTCATCCATGTTACTGTAAATTACAGAATTTTATTTTTTATGACTGAATAGTATTCCATTGTGTATATATACATTTTTGTCCATTCATGCAGTATATTTTTATTTTTTAATGGATTATCTTAACATTCCATGAGTCAGAACTTTTTAATTGATAAGAGAATGAAGCTTAACAAGTTTATATTAGATCAATACTGGGTAAATAAAGCAATCACTTTTGTAATAAATCAAAAGGCAGCAATAAAAATATGAACTTTATGAATTAAAATAGAGGCTTTAGAATGGTACATTTAACTTACACTATGATGTATATTTTATGGTTAATATATGAGCTTTGAAATACAAAATTTGAAATCAGTAGCCCTTCTAATTATAAATGATATAAATTTTTTCTATATAAAACATTATATTTTCCTACAGTTCAATTGGGTATAAATTTTACTTTTCTCATGTACTTTTCCAAAGCACAATATTATATGGTTTATACATGGATACATTTGCCAAGTAATAGGCATATATCCCATGAGAACTAGGCCCTTTGAGCTTTATAGAAATAACTGAAGCATGTATTATATCCAATAAATGAGAATAGCTACCATTTAATGAGAGCTAACGATACACTAGGTACTGAGATTAGGTACTGTTTTATTATCATCCCTGTTGCACAGTTGAGGAAAGAGATATTTAGTAAGATTAAATAACTTCCAATTTTAAGAGCCAGTGAATGCCAGAGAACCACGTTTTCTTTTTTTTCTTTTTCTTTTTTTTTTTTTGAGATGGAATCTCACTCTGTCACCAAGACTGGAGTGCAGTGGCACGATCCTGGCTCACTGCAACCTCTGCCTCCCAGGTTCCAGCGATTCTCCTGCCTCAGCCTCCCCAGTAGCTGGGATTACAAGTGCATGCCACCACGCCTGGCTAATTTTTTGTATTTTTAGTAGAGACGGGGTTTCACCATGTTGGCCAGGCTGGTCTTGAACTCCTGACATCAAGTAATCTGCCTGTCTCAGCCTCCCAGTGCTGGGATTACAGGCGTGAGCCACCATGCCTGGCCCCACGTTTTCTAATTTTGAAGTTCAGATCATTTGAACTACCTCAGCCTAGTGCTCATTGTGCAAAGGTCCAGAGGTGCAGAAAAGGGAGACTGACTGGGCTACCATTACTACTGGGTTGATTATCTGTCATCGATGGGTAGAACTTTGTAAGCATGAGATGCTGATGAGATGTGATAGGTCAAGGGGCTACTGTCACCCAGGTCACTCACGGCCCAGGCTGGGGCTAAGTGAGGAAAGTTTTCCCTTTTAATTTCTGAAACCCACCTGTGGTTAATACTGGGTATGGATGAGGACAAAAAATACCTTTCCCACTCTTTGGGAGGTAAAATGCAGGACACAATCATCCCCCAGTCCCATTTCTAGTTCAGCTGAACCAAAGACAACTCTCAAATGGAAGATCAGTATTTTCAATAGGTTGAACAAATTGAATAGCGGGACAAATAAAACCTATATTTGGGACAACTTGGTGGTGGCCACTGCGCAGACCAGACTTCGCTCGTTCTCACGCGCCTCGCTCCGCTTTTCCTCCGCAACCACGTCTGACAAACCCGATATGGCTGAGATCGAGAAATTCGATAAGTCGAAACTGAAGGAGATAGAGACGCAAGAGAAAAATCCACTGTCTTCCAAAGAAACGATTGAACAGGAGAAGCAAGCAGGCGAATCGTAATGAGGCGTGCGCCGCCAATATGCACTGTACATTCCACAAGCACTGCCTTCTTATTTTACTTCTTTTAGCTGTTTAACTTTGTAAGATGCAAAGAGGTTGGATCAAGTTTAAATGACAGTGCTGCCCCTTTCACATCAAAGAACTACTGACAACGAAGGCCGCGCCCGCCTCTCTCATCTGTCTATCTGGCTGGCAGGGAAGGAAAGAACTTGCATGTTGGTGAAGGAAGAAGTGGGTTGGAAGAAGTGGGGTGGGACGACAGTGAAATCTAGAATAAAACCAAGCTGGCCCAAGGTGTCCTGCAGGCTGTAATGCAGTTTAATCAGAGTGCCATTTCTTTTTTTGTTCAAATGATTTTAATTATTGGAATGCACAATTTTTTTAATATGCAAATAAAAAGTTTAAAAACTTAAGAAACAAAACAAAACAAACAAAAAAAACCTATGTTTGGATTAACATCTGACCACTCCAGACACTTCAGATGTACTGAGTGCCCAGACACATCATTTGTCCTGACTAGGTGGTCTGAAGTAAATACAATTTTTAAAAATTGTTTAAAAGGCACAAAAACAGAATTCCAAGCATTTCTACAAACATGAACTCATTAAATTTAATCTTCATAATCATACTATCAAGAAGAATCTATTATTATCCCCAGTGATTAAGTGTCTTGCCCGAAGTCTCCCAGCTAGTAGGTGGCAGAGCTAGAATTTGAAACCCTGGAGTCTGGTCCCAACCTGTGTCTTCCTCCAGTATGAAATCTATGTTTTTTGTTTTTTGTTTTCCATCTGCCACTGCCTGAGTTGATGGCCCTGGTGGATGACTGTTTCAGACATATTGGTGTGGTTAACTCACTATCCAGTCTATACAACACAGATCAGACAAATCCCACTAATGACTGAAGCAGATTAATTACGCCAAACATTGACTACTTCATCCTGATTAAGATGGTATTTTAAGTATGAATTTTGAACAAGTGCATTAGCAGAGGCCAAAAATAAAATCCCTGATATAAGCAAGCTATATTCTAATCTACAAAAGAGTGAAAATAGAACCCCGAATTAATCAAATAGGCAGTAACCATGGTGGTTAAGAGCATGGACGTGGGGCAGATTGTCTGGATTTGGATTCCAGCTCCACCACTCACCAGCTACGTGGTTTAGCAAGTTACTTAGCCTTTAAAAATCTTTGATTCCTTATCTTTTAAAAGGGAGTAACTATAACTATTTATTTTTGTTATCCTAAGGATAAAGTATAAAGCTTATAATGGAATATGGCACTTTTTTTAAGGGCATAACAGAATGAACAGAACCTGGACAATGCCAAAAGAGAAATACAAAATCCATTATTACAAAGATATTTTCTACAATCATAGTTGGTCAAGCAATTTTAGCAGCCTTTCAGTGAGAAGTAACTGGAAATCAACACCCGTGCTCTACTTTGTGTCTCTTTTAGTGTTGATGAAAAGTATGTCCATGTTAGTTGTTCTCAGCTAATTGTTTTGTTACCTGTGGTAGATTTCAAAATATGGCCACAGATTTCTCCCAATCCAGTACATACCCACTATGCAATGTGATTTTGTCATTCCCATAAGAAATGGAGTCTATTTCCTCCTCTCTTTGAATCTGGGCTGGCAGTTGTCCAGTAGAATTAAGCAGAAGGGATGTCATAATACTTCTAATTGCTAGGACTTAAGAAACTTTGTAGTATATTTCTACTGTTTTCTTGGAAAACTATTTGAGACGCCATCTAAAGAAGCCAAGCTAGCCTAGTAAGAAATTGGAGGCAATAAAATGTGTTACTTTCAATACAAGCAAAATTATCATGCAACTGTTTCTCCATACACTGTAAGATTTTAGAATTACTTAGCAATTACTATGCTCTTTTATAAGCCATGAAACAGTTATAAAACAGTCACTCCCTTCCACCAGTCAAGTTTGATGTATTAGCTGCTTTGTCGGAATTACCACATTAAATGGACATGACGGTGAATGCAGCTGTAACTGCACTGATTTCATTTCTCTTTTCTTAGGTTTTTATTTGTTATAAAAGTTTTTGCTGCTGTGATGTCCCTCCCTAAAAAACCACTGATTTAGGTTTGGCTATCTTCAGTGTTAATCACGTAAACCAGAGTAAATTCGCACGTTATTACACGTTAAATATGAAGATTCAGACTGCATCACTGGTATCTTCTTTCCACTCTGCCGTATCTGACTCTTTCTCCTCTCTTCTCCAATAGGTATGGAGAGCTGCTCAGCAACGTCACACTTAGCAAATACAGAATGGAAAGGCAGTTGCAGTTTCATGCCTAAACTCCACGCGTAATTCTCTTGTAGCCAGAAGACACCCATTCTTCCTGGAGAAGGAGTGAAAAAGCAAAAACCGTAGATTTTTATGTCCAAGTCCAAGTCCCATGACAGTAATGACTGATTATTTATCCCATTCCTTCTCTACTCCTTTGTTTCCTATCACACAGGGGAGGTCTGAGGGGGTGAGGGCTAAAGTGATGCTGGGGTGTAGAAGAACCAGTGGGGTTCCAATTGAGTTCATTTCTCTCTGGAATGTGAGGTACTTGATATTTTGTCCTCAACTTTGGATACTACCTATGAATTTTGGTAAAAGGAAAAGTCCTTTTCAACACCATTTTCCATTGTGATATGTAATTCTAAAATGACACTGTCATTTTGTTTTTGCCCATGTACTAAAATATTATAATTAATGTAATTTTTTCTTTTTCCCAAGCTTCTTTCACAGTGTCTGCTTTACAGGTGGTTGTTTCTATGTTCTTTGGTTCATTTTATTAAATCACTTTTTAAAATAATTTTTAGAAAACTCTACTTTCAGTTCTTTACATACTTCCACTTAAATGGCACTGCATTTGTTAAAATATTGGTTTTATAAGTGTTTGCATGAATATAATTAATTTTAAAATACATGAGGTTTAACTCAGAACAGATTTATTCTAGCTTACATGATGGCTCAGTTTCCTAAAGAAACTGGGTAATTGTGTGTATGAATACTCAGGAACAGGATAACAAAAAATGAAAAATAATTTTTGAACTATTTAAACCATAATTGATCAGTTTTGGCTTTACATGTGGTTGCATAAATAGAAGTGAAATTAAATATCATTTATTCTTAGCATATTCCCTGTAGTACCTAGTTGGTTCAAATAAAAATGTAGTCAAGATATTCTTTTGCGCCAGAGGAAAAACATTAAACCATTAAGCCACTTGATTAATTTATGTTGTAGCTGAATTACATCAGTCTGTTCAGGGGTCCTAACTCCTAAAGAATTCTTTTTTAAACTTGAATATTTAACAGAACCTTTTTAGGAAATGAGGAACCATGTACTAAATGAGGAACCCTGTCCTAAATTCTACTTCTAGGTCCTATATTGAATGATGAAAGAGTAAATCAATCAACTCATCAATAAATATTAGAATTATCACTTTCAATTGTGTCTACTCACTAATATTTGGTTAGCAAACAAACTAGAGATGGAGTGCTTATATGAATCAAACTTATTTGTGTCCTACTGTGGTTAAGATGTCTTCAACTCTTCATCTATTCGTTTGTTCAGAATATGTTTTCATGCCAGAATATTTTGGCTGGGATACAGTAGAAAATGAAATAAATAATCTCTGGGCTTATAGTATTTGTCTTCATATGATTATCCCTGACAATCCTAATTCTGGTTGGGAAACAGACAATAAACAGATTGATAATATAACAAGTGTCAAATTCTAATAAAAATAAAACAAAATAGAGTGATAAAGTATCCTGGGGTTTGGCTGGAAAATTATTTTTGCATTTTAATGATCATCAAATTGATTCCACAATTTTAAGCTCTTTATTTCATTAATTTAACAAGTACTTATTAAGGGCCTAGTCTATGCCAGGCACTAGAAAGGCAAGAGAGCAAAACAAGCAAGTTCTTTGTATGGATGTGTTTGGAAGGGAAATAGCAATCCTGTAATAGCTTCAATACGTGCAAAAATTGGTAACTACTACACAGTTTTTGGCATCCCCCATACATATCACTTCATTTTTATGGTGACTCACATGTACATACTACGTCCTTGAATTGGATAATAGTGACTCTGTTGTGCTTACTGCTGTGAACTCTTTAATCAATCGCCCAGAATACAAGAGACATTCTGGGGACTTAGAAAGTAAACCTAAGTAATTCCAGTGGTAAAACCTTGACTTGGGTTAGTCGTCAAACTAAAGCTACTGTTCCCTCAATTACACGGATCATTGCTTTAACTCTTTACCTGGCTTTAGTGGCAAGAACCTTACATCTTAGAATAAGATAACATCAGATGCGATCATTTTTAAAAGATGCATATAAAAGATATTTCTCGTATACCATAATATCTGCTTCAATTTTCCAAAGCAATTAAAATAAAATAGCAAAGGAAAAATAAACATTAAAAAATCAAGAAATGACAATCAATATTGGGTATTCAGTCATGGCATACTTAAAATAAAAATTGCATTTCAAGTAAAATGGTAATTTTAGAGAATAAAAAGCTCTTTACTTATAATATTATTTTAGCCTTTAATTTTTTTTTTTTTTTGCTAAAAGAGTAGCGTCTAAAGCTGAGATGTCAATCAATCTTCACATTTTAATATATGAGCATAAATGAATCTGAATGAGGAAAGAAAGGAGAAAGAGTCAAGGAGATGGGCAAAGAACCTGAATAGACATATTTTAACAGAAGACATAAAAATGGCCATCGGCTATATGAAAAGGTGTTCAAGGTAACTAATCATCAGGGAAATGTCCATCAAAACCATTATGAGATTTCACCTCACACTTACTAGGATGATTACTGTCAAAAAGATGAAAGGTAACAAGTTCAGCAAGAATGTGGAAAAAGAGGAACCCTTGTACAGTATACATTTTGTAGTATACTTTGTACACTAATTTACACTGGTGGGAATGTAACTTAGTATAACCACCATAGAAAAACAATATGAAGGCTCCTCAAAAACTTAAAAGTAGAACTACCATGTGGTCCATCAATCCTGCTTCTGAATATTTATCCAAAGAAAATGAAATCAGGATCTCAAAGAGACACCTGTACTTCCATGTTCATTGCAGCATTACTCACAATAGCCAAGAGATGGATGGACTCAACTTATATGTCCATCAATGGATGAACAGATAAACAAAATGTGATACACATGCATACAAACATAAAAGCATATATGCACACACACATATATATATAATAGAATATTATTCAGCCCTTAAAAAAAGAAAGCTCTGCTATTTGTGAAAACACAGCTGAATCTGGAGGACATTATACACAGTGACATAAGCCAGCCACAGAAAGACAAGTACTGCATAATCTCACTTATATGTGGAACCTAAAAAGTCAAACTCATAGAAACAGATAGTAAGAATGGTGGTTGCCAGGAACTGGGTGAGGGACAAAAGGAAAGATATTGACCAAAAGGCACAAAGTTTTCATTAATACTAAATGAACTAGAACTAATTCTGGAGAGCTACTGTACAACATGTTGACTATAGTTAACAATACTCCATCAAATACTTGAAATTTGCTGAAAGAGTAGATCTTGTTTTTCTGTTTCTTTTTTTATTATACTTTAAGTTCTAGGGGACATGTACACAATGTGCAGGTTTGTTACATATGTATACATGTGCCATGTTGGTGTGCTGCATCCATTAACTCGTCATTTACATTAGGTATATCTCCTAATGCAATCCCTCCCCCATCCCCCCTCCCCACACTAGAACCTGGTGTGTGATGTTTCCCTTCCTGTGTCCAAGTGATCTCATTGTTCAATTCCCACCTATGAGTGAGAACATGCAGTATTTGGTTTTCTCTTCTTGCAATAGCTTGCTCAGAATGATGGTTTCCAGCTGCATTCATGTCCCTACAAAGGACACAAACTCATCCTTTTTTATGGCTGTTCTGTAGAGTCTATTAGGTCGCCACTTGGTGCCAGAGTTGAGTTCAATTCCTGTATGCCTTGTTGAACTTCTGTCTCATTGATCCTGTCTTAATTGAACAGTGGGGTGTTAAAGTCTCCATTATTATTGTAGTGGGAAAGTCCTAAGTCTCTTTGTGAAGTCTCTAAGGACTTGCTTTATAAATCTGGGTGGCTCCTGTTATTGGAGTGCATATCTTAATTTAAGGACAGTAAACTCTTTCCTGAATGA